GAGTCCCAGAAGGAATGGAGAAAGATGGGGAGGGGCAGAAAAAATATCCTAAGAAATAGTGGCTGAGAACTTCCAAAATTTGGGTAAAAACATGCACAATAAATCTGAGTGAAGCCCATATATGATGAGCCCAAAGAAATTCATGCCAAGATACATCATAATCAAACTTCAGAAAATTTAAGACAAGGAAAAAAATTTAAAAGCAGTGGGGGAAAAAAAAAACAATGCATTACCTAAAGGAAAACAACAATTTCAATGTCATCAAATTTCTCATCCAAATCACAGAAGCCCAGAGGAAGTGGTACAACATTTTCTATTTCAATTTCAATTTCAAAGAATAGTCAACCAAGAATCCTACCCAAAGGAAATATACTTCAGGAATTAAGATGAAATTAAGGAGCACTGGGTGTTATATGCAAACAGTGAATCACGGACCACTACATCAAAAACTAATGATGTACAGTATGGTGATTAACATAACATAATAAAATGGTGATTAACATAACATAATAAAATTAAATTAAAACAAACAAACAAAAAAACAAAAAAACACTCTCAGATTCGAAGAACTAAAATAATTTGTCATAAGCAGACCCATTCTAAAAGAATAGCTAAGAAAATTTCTTCAAACACTAAGACAATGATGAAACAAGACCCTCAGAATATCAGGGACGAAGAAAAAACAAGGCAAAAGGTAAAAATATGGGTAAATATAACAAAGTATTCTTCCATTATGTTTTCTAAATTAGTTTGACAGTTGATGCAAATTTTATAATATTGTTTGATATAGTTCTTAATATATGTGGAAGAAATATTTAAGATAATTATATTATTGGTGGAGTGAGTGGTAAAAGAACATAAATGGAAGCAATATTTCTATACTTCAGTCAAGCTGGTAAAATGCTGGCCCCAGTAGTTTGTGACAAGTTACATAAATTATGTAATATCTATAGCAACCACTAAAACATATATATATATATATACTAAAAAACACTATGGATAAATCAAAGTGCAATTCTAAATAATGTTCAAGTAGCTCACAGGAAGGCAGGAAAAGTGAAACAGGAATGAAAAACAAAGGGATAATTAAAAATAAACAATAAAATGGTAGGATTATGCTCTAATTTATCAATAAGGACATTAAATGTAAATGGTATAAATACATCAATTAAAAAACAGAGAATATCAGAATGAATTTAAAAAAAAACAAAAACATGAGCCAACAATATGCGATTACCAAGAAACTCACTTCAAATATAATGATATAGGTAGATTGAAAATAAAAGGTTGGAGAAAGACACTGTCATATGAAAGTTAATCAGAAGAAAGCAGGAGTGGCTTTATTAATATCAGATAGAGTAGATTTCAGAGCAAAGAAATACACCAGAGAACAACACTACATAATGATACAATAATAAATCCATCAAAGAAATTTTAATAAAAAATTTGTATGCTCCAAACAACAGACCTTTAGAATATAGGAAGGAATACCAATAGAACTGAAAGAAGAAATAGAGAAGTTCTCAATTACATTTGAAAATTTCAACACTCTGCTCAACAAGCAGACAGAAAATCAGCAAGGATATAGAAGAACTTAATACCATTAACCAACTAGGATCTAACTACATTTATAGAAGACTCCACTCAACAACTAAGTAATACACATTCCTTTGAAGTGCCTGTGGAACATTAACCAAGATTGACCATATCCTGAACCATAAAGTGAAAACAACAAATTTAAGACAACTGAAATTATATAGAGTATGTTCTTAGAACACAATGAAATCAAACCAGAAATCTATAGCACAAAGATAATAAATTCTTTAAACACTTGGAAATTAAACACACTTATAAATAATCCATGGGTCAAAGAGGAAATTTCAAGGAAAACTTCAAAATACACACTGAAAATACAATATATCAAAACCTATGGAATACAGCCATAGCAGTGCTGAGAGGGAAATGTATAGCACTAAATGGCTATATTACAAAGGGGAAAGCTCTTAAATAATCTAAATTCTATCTAAAGAAACAAGAAAAAAGCAAAATAAACATGCAGAAGGAAGAAAATAATGGAAAAGGAAAAATCAATGTAAGTTGCAAATAAAATGATAGGAAAAAAATCAGTGGAATATAAAGCTGATTCTTTGAAAAGATTAATAAAAAAGATAATGGCACAAATAACCAATATCAGGAATGAATCAGGCATATTATTACAGATCCTTCAGGTGTATACTATGAACAACTCTACAGACTTTTGACATTCATAAGCAAAAGAAAAAACAAACAATAAAAAAAATTTTTGACCTAAACTTTACATATTATACAAAAATTAGAACAAATGTAAAACACAAAACTATAAAACTTTTAGAAGGGAAAGTGGGGAAAAGCCTCAGAATCTACAGCTATTGAGGCTTCCTAATATGGCAGATTACTTTGATTATACATGACATCAAAACTGCAAGTTAAAAAAAAGTCAGTAAGTTAAACCTCATCAAAATTAAAAACTTTTGCTCTTTAAAATACCTTGTTAATACATAAAAAGACAAGCTACAGAATAGCAGAAAATATACACAAACCACTTATCTCACAAAGAACTGCTGTCTAGAATATATATAAAGAACTCTCAAAACTCAACAGTAAAAAAAAAGTCAATTAGAAAATGAACAAGAGACTGAAGAGACATTTCACTACAAGGACACACAAATGGAAAATATGTTCAACACATTAGCCATTGGGAAATACAAATTAAAACCACAATGTGGTATTACTGCACACCAATTAGAAAAACTAAAATAAAAAACAGTGACAACATCAAATATTCAAGAGGATGTAGAAAAACTATATCTGTCATACTTTGCTGGTGGGAATGTAAAATCTAAAATGTTGCAGCTGCTCTAGAAAATAGTTTGGCCTTTTACTCTAAAAAAACACATGTACACTTAACATATGACCCAACAATTGCCTTCTTAGGGCACTTTTTCCTTTTCCTTTTTTCCCAGAAAAGGGAAAACTTAACTGCTACACAAAAACCTGTTCACACACATTCATTGCAGCTTTATTTGTAATAACCCAAACTGGTAAACATCCAAATTTCCATCAGTAGGTGAAGGTTAAGCAAACTGTGGTATATCCATACTGTGGAATACCACTCAGCAATGAGAAGGAATAAACTATGAACACATGGAACATTATGGACGGATCTCAAGGGAATTCTGTTGAGTGAAAAAAAACCAATCTCAAAATGGTTATATATCGTGTCTATTTATGTAACATTCTTGAAATGACAAAACTATAGAGATGGTGAACACATTAGTGATAGTGACTAGATGGGGGAATGAGTGAGTATGACTTTTAAACATTAGTATGAGGAATCATTGTGATGATAGAACAATTTGTTATATGTATCTTGATCGTGGGGGTGGTTACTTGTGATAAAATTGCATAAAACTACACACACACACAAATGAATGCATGTAAAACTACTGAAATCTTAAGGTCTGTTGATTGTACCAATGTCAATTTCCTCATTTTGATATAGTTTTATAGTAACATAAAACATTATCGAGGGGGAACCAGGCAAAGTTTGCGCAGGACTTTTGTGTACTATTTTTGTAACCTCTTGTGAATTTACAATTAATTTGAAATAAAAATATTTTAAAAATTCATCTTGCCAGGGGCTGGCTCAGTTGGCAGTGCATGTGACTCTTGATCCTGGAGTTGTAAGTTCAAGCACCACACTGGGCATAGAGCTTACTTAAATTAAAAAATCATCTTGCCAATAATACCTACATTAAGATGTTGTCACTCTTGTCAAAAACTGATTCTGGACTCTATTCTGTTTCATTGAGATATTTGTCTATCCATATTTTATACCAATACCACAATGTCTTTGTGTAGATTTATGATGTCTTGATATCTGATACAGTAAGTCCTCTAGCCTTGTTTTACTTTTTAAAGATTGTCTTAGCTATTGTTGGTTCTTTGAATTTCTATATAAATTTTGAAATCAATTTCTACCAAAAAAAAAGCTACTTGGATTTTTTTAGAAGTGGATTAAATATCAATATCCAATCCTTTATCTATATTAAATCTTCCCGTTCATAAACATTTACATATATCCATTTATTTAAGTCTTTACAAATTAATCTTAGTGATGTTTTTGTAGCTTTTTTAGTGTAGAGATTTTTTTATATCATTTATTGAATTTATTTTTATATATTTGTTATATTTTAATTATTTGTTTCTGAAGTATATATGGGAATACAATTTTGTATATTTTCCTGATATCTGGAAACTGATAATTTCACTTTTTTCCCATAGTTTTGTTTGTGTATTCATTTGAATTTTCTATGTACCCAGTCTTGTTATCTATGAATAATGACAGATTCCAGTCATTATACATTTTATGTCTTTTTTCTTATGTATTTATAGCTCACATATTTTATTATACCAACTAGCTTCCTGTATTATTTTAAATAGAAAAAATGAGACATCTTGTTTCATTCCCAATCTTGGGGGAAAGTTTTCAATATTTCACCATTATATTGATTGCCTGTTGTAGCATTTTTTGTTTGTTTTTTTGGTTTTGGTAGATATTCTTGATCAAATTAAGGAAATTCTATTCCTGGTGTGCTAAGAGGCATTGTCCCTTTTTACTTGTAAATGGGTACTCATCTTTCACTTATGATATATTTGCATGACCCGAATTACTAGACTGTGAACTCTTGACTTACTTAAATCACATTCGAATATATTTGTTGAGTGCCTCTAGTGTGCAAGGCCATCTGCAAGGTATTGGAAATTCAAAGATAAACTGCCATAGAGTGGGTACTAAATGTTTCTGAAGTAGAACTAAAAAAATGAATAACTGTAAACATAATACCAAAAAAATCTATATTTTATTAAAATAAACTTAAACAAAATTGGATTACGATCATTAGAATAGCTTTAATCCAAGCAAATATGCATGATTCAATTTAAATTATTTTATCTTTCAGACTTGGGATGATGGTTTAGCGAAGGTTGCTAAAGCGTGGGCAAACAAGTGCAGATTCGAACACAACTCCTGTTTATCAATATCATACAGATGCCATCCAACTTTTCAATTTGTTGGAGAAAATATCTGGTTAGGTGGATTAAGCATATTTTCACCAAAATTTACTGTTGTTGCTTGGTTTAATGAAACTGAATTTTATGATTATAATACCCTATCATGTTCCAAAGCTTGTGGCCATTATACACAGGTAAATATTTGACATTTTGTTGATTAGTTCTTATTTATGCACATTTCTATCAAAAGAGAATTTTTTAGCATTTTCTTTTGAGTTTCTTTTGAGTATCTAAAAACACATCTTCATTTGGAAGATATTTATACTGGGAATAGAATTCTATGTACTGGAATTTTTTGTTTGTTTCATTTGTTTGTTTGTTTTTCTGGACTTTAAAAATCTTACTCCACTGTCATCTCACTTGTATTGTTTCCAACAAGAAATCTACTATAATCTTTTCTTTATTCCTTTGTACTTTATGTGTCTTTTTGCTCTCACTTTTACAATTCTTCCTTTATTACAGGTCATGAGCAATTTCATAATAATGTACTGCAGTTTTTTCTGCTGCAGTATAACGAGCTTCTTGGAACTGTATCTCTACAGTTTAAATCAAATTTTGAAAAACATTTGCCATTATTTCTTCAAATATTTCTGTCATTCTCGTTTGCTACTCCCTTGCAGAGTTGTTACTCATGTAGAAGGCCACTTGAAGTTTTCCACAGTTGACTGATATTCTCTTCTCTCTTTTCCTGATTTTTTTCTTCTGTGATTAATTTCAGATAGTCTTATTGCTTTATCTTAAGTTCACTAATCAATCAATGACCGTATCTAGTATGTTTAATCTTTCATCTAGCTTTTTAATCATATGGGATACAGTTATAATCATTATTTTAATGTTTTCCCTCCTAATTCTAGCATCTAGGTTAGTTCTGGGTTAGTTTCAATGGACTGATTTTCCCTCTTCATTATGGGTCAAATTTTCCTGCTTCTTATCATGCTGCTGGGTAAATTTATTATATTCCCAAATTTGTAAATTTTGCCTTGTTGAATGCTGGCTTTATTTATATATCTCTAAATATTCTTGAACTGTCTTCTGGAATACAGTTACATTACCTGAAATTTTTTAAATTCTTTTGGTTCTTGCAAAGCAAGACTCTTGTGCATACTCTACCAATGCCCTAGAAATTGGTATTTTCCAGTGGCTAGTAGTAACAGGCTCTATTCCTGGCCCTGTTTAAGTCTTAGCATCTTTCTTCTAGTTTTTAGAATGGTTCTTTCCCAGGCCTCAGGTAGTTTCTTCACATACATGCTGATTAATGCTCTGCTGAATTGACCATGAGGATTCCCTGTAGATCTCTACAGTTGTATCACAGTGAGATTTTCACCTCCACAGTACTATATTCTCTAAACTCCTGCCTCCTTGGTCTCCCCAATCAGCTCTGCCTGTCAGTTGTGTGAATCCATCAAGCTTCTGCTGGTTTCCTAACTCCCAACCCCCCAGCCATGGCCTGGAAACTCTCTCAAAGCAATAATCTGGGACAATTGTACTGCCTGAATCCTTTCCCCTCAACTCGCAGAGGGCATTATCCTTTTCAAGATACTGATGTCCACTTTATTTCTCATTATTTTCCAAGTATTCTGGTTATTTCAGTGGGAATTTTTGGTGAGAAGTGGAAGTCGCTTTTAAATAAACCGAATCCTAAAAATGGCACTGAACTCGTAGGAAGCTCCATTTAAGCAATAAAAAGAGCTAACTTTCTTCTCCAAACTCACTCATCTGTATAAGATGTATTAGTATATAGTGACTTAAAGCAAGTCATTTTTATCAGAGGAGCACTGAACAAAGAGATTAGCAGCTTCCATGTTCCCCTTCTATTCACTCATTGTCCAACAGTAGGACACTGTAAGTCTGGAAACCCTTTTCAGGATAGATGTCTGCAAAGAATATGGTTTGGCTACTGCTGGGAAAATCAAAAGAATGGAATCCAAATGTCAGGTGTACTGATAACAAGCAGAATGTTATATCCCTAATACGGCATTAAGACTAACTCACAGCCTTTATATAATCCTTTGTCTCTCTCTTTTGCTTCAAGTCAAAAGGAACCTGTTCCCAAATACTCCTTTTCCACTATCATTGCTACATCAGAATTGGAAGCTCACTCCACACTGGCTAATTTACACATATGCTTAAGTAATTAGGAATGAGTGCATTCTTTCTACTTGTTCAGCTACTATATCTTGCTTAATGTTCTAAACAAAATGAGCTAAAAATTTCCTGCATTTACTATTTGCAGATATTCATATTGAAGTTACAGCCAATGTTCATATTGTCACATCTAGTCCCTTTAATGAAAGCAATACATTTTAAACCTACACAGTCAATATTTACTTTTACCATTCTCAAAGCCAAAACAGAATCGTAACTTAGATACATTAAGCAAATAGAATTTCATGGAGTAGCCACATACTCATGAACCAAATTTTTAAACATGAATTCTTGGAAAAAATGTATACTTCTTCAATTGTATGGCTTTTTAACTTTTTGAAACATTCAAAAGGAAAAGGATATTTTAAGGATCAAGCTTAATCTCATTTTATTAAGTAGGAAACAAGCTCAGAATTGCTGTCAGTCTCTAAAGCCACACACATGGTTAGAAGCAACACTCATCTCTTACTTCTCTCTTACTCTTCTCTCATCTCTTACTATTACTAAAGAAATAGTAATCTTCACTCTTTTCTCTCTCTCCTGTCTAGTTTTCCATAGGAGTCATCTTCATTTTGATAACTTTACTATTCTTTGCAACTAGACAAAAATAAAGATACATCATCTCTGTGGCAGGCATCTTTTGCAGAAGACTCATTATGTTCTTAATCTCTATTCTTATCTGTCTCTTGCTTACTTAACAAAGGTAAGAATATGGTTAAGACCACAAAATTTAAAAAATGAAGTAGAATTTTTCTGAGAAAAAGAAATAAAAGTTTTACTGTTTTCATTTATAGTCTGATTTTGATATCATTTATATAATATGCCCATAGAGAAAATTAAAATATATTTCATAAGTCATCTAGAAAAAATACAATTTTGTCTTTATGGTATATTCTCCTTTTGATTTATGAGAATTAACAGTGAGGAAAACTAGATAGATAGGCCTCAGGAAAGTAGCCTTAACAAAATAATTGTTTTAAAGTTAATATTAAAAACTAAGAAAATAAACAGAGAGTATAGTTATGTGCATTCATTTTTGGTAGCATGACAAAGATTATACCTGCTCCCATAATACACTGTTTGCATAAAGTTGTTTTGCATATTTTATTTTAAAATTCCTTTCCTTATAGGTAGTTTGGGCCAATTCATATAAAGTTGGTTGTGCAGTAACAATGTGTCCTAAACTTGGGGGATTTGAAACTGCAATATTCATATGCAACTATGGACCTTCGTAAGTTATTTTGCTATTAAAAATATTTTAAATTAAAAGAATTGTTCTCAAAATAGAACCTTATACTAAAGAGACCAGTATATTTTTAATAAGTTGAAGTCTCCCTCTGTAGTGCTACTCAAGAAATACATTAAAATAGAAGGTGGTGAGAGAACATTACCTTATGTAAAATATTATACCTGTCATGAAATACTTAAACTTGAGAATGAAAATTATGGAAACTGTTTAAGTTAAAAAAAAGAATATAAATACATTGCTACAGTAATATCCAAATACTTGGAACACAAAATAGATTGGCAGATGTTTCTCTAATATGACATAACCGGGATGAGTAAATGATTGAGAATGACAGTGAAATGCACATTCTTCTAAGAAAAGACTACCATAATTTTTAATTGCCTTGCTAATAGTTGCATATATAAATGGAAATATAACATTAGCCTATGGGAGTCCCCAAAAATGAAATTCTGGAACTCTAATCCCAATAGATCTGTACAAGGAAGAAGATAAAAATCAGTTAATGGTCCAACTCTTTTAACAACCAAAATTTTTTTAAAATGTATAAAAAATGAAAACACAGGCAAAGAATAAATATACATAATTTGCAAAAAGGATCTGAAATGTGCCAAAATTGCTATGGAGAAGTACAAATGTGTATATCTCTGTATTTTCTTTGGTTGCCTCTCAATCAGAAACAAAAACAAGAAGGACAAATTCATAGCCTTAAAACTTCAAGCAAAGTACAGTTTTTATAAATACCAGAGAAATTGCAGAACTACTGAACACTTATTTATTATCATCCAAAATAGAATATATAGGGAAAACAAATCCAAAAAAGATAAAAAGAGCATCAGTTATCTGTGAGGTAAGTTTAGGCAGAATTGATTTCCTGAACAAGGCAGGGCCAGAAAATGTTTTAAGAAATATAGCTCAAAACTTTCCAAGCTTAAGGAAAATTATAAACTCCCAGAACCAAAAAGGCTAACAAATCCCAAGTCGCAAGAAACATGAAGAAAACTATACTAACTCACTTTATAATAAAACATTTCAAAACCAGTAATAAAGAGAAAATCTTAAAAGCAGTCAGAGAACTAAGACATGTTACATACAGAGGGACAAAGATAAAGATGACAGCAGATTTCTCAGTGGAAATAATGTCAGAGAGAAAACAGCAATATCTTTAAATACTGGAAGAAAAAAAATTGTCCCCTGAGAATTCTATATCGTTTGAAAATACATTTCAAAATTAAAAGATTTTTTTCAAACCACTGGAAATGGTAACTACATGAGTAATACAGTTTGTCTTATTATTTAATTCTCTTCCAAGGATAATTGTTTAATCAAAGATAATAGCAATGTATTATGAGAGTTACAACTACATAAAATTAAAATATGTGCTAACTACAGCATAAAGGCTAAAAGAGAAAAATCTAAGTATATTAAGATTCTTCTACTCTGTTAAGTGCAATAATTTAAACTGACTGTGATAGGTAAAAGATGCATACTATAAGCTCCAACTACTTAAATAATAAAACTACTTATAGCAAAGGCATCAACAAAGCAGATAAAATTAGATTTAAAAAAAATATTGAATTAATCCAAAGAAAGGCAGAAAAAGAGGAAAAGGGGAACAAAGAACAGAGGAGATGAATAGAATAAATAAGATGATAGCCTTAAACCTAACTATATCAATAATTACATCGGGGTGCCTGCGTGGTTCAGTCAATTAAGCATCTGCCTCTTGATTTCAGCTTAGGTCATGATCTCACGTTCATGAGATCAAGCCCTGTGCTGGGCTCCACGCTCAGCCTGGAGTCTGCTTGAGATTCTCTCTTTCTTCCTCTCCTTCTGCCCCTTCCCCCCCTACACACACCCACTCTCTCTCTCTCTCAAAATAAATAAATAAAATCTTAAAAAAAATAATCACATCAAATTTAAATGATACAAAAACCCAAAGAAAAGGCAGAGATTCCAAGGATAAGAAATCAAGAACCAATTATATGCTGCCTACAAAAGCACATTTTATTTTTTTTTAATTTTATTTTTAAGTAATCTCTACACCCAATGTGGGGCTCAAACTCACAACCCTGAGATCAAGTCACAAACTCCACTGACTGAGCCAGCCTTGTGCCCCTACATAAACACACTTTAAATATAAAGACAGAAATAATGAAAAATCAACCACAAGAAAAAAATATGTAAAGAACATAAATACATGGAGGTTAAATAACATGCTACTAAACAATGAATGGGTCAACCAAGAAATGAAAGGGGAAATATAAAAAATACATGGAGACAAATGAAAATGAAAACACAATAGTCCAAAATCTTTGGGATACAGCAAAAGCTGCTCTAAGAGGGAAGTTTATAGCAATACAGGCTTACTTTGAGAAGCAAGAAAAATCTCAAATAAACAACCTTACACCTATAGGAGCTCAAAAAGGAAAACACAACTCAAAACCAGCAAAAGGAAGGAAATAATGAATATTAGAGCAGAAATAAATAAAATAGAAACTAAGAAACAAAACAAAACAAAAACAACCCAATAGTACAAATCAATGAACCAGAAGCTGGTTCTTTGAAAAGATAAACAAAACTGATAAACTTTAACCAGACTCACCAAAAAAAAACAAAAAAAAAAGGAAGACTCAAATAAACAACATCATAAATGAAAGAGGATAAATAACAACTGATACCACTGAAATACAAAGGATTATAAGAAAATATTATGAAAAATTATATGCCAACAAATTGGACAACCCAGAAGAAATGGATAAATTCCTAGAAACATATAACCCACCAAAACTGAAGCAGGAAGAAATAAGAAAATTTGAACAGACTGATTACCAGCCATGAAATTCAACCAATAATCAAAAACTCCAACAAACAAAAGTTCAGAACCAGATGGCTTCACAGGCAAATTCTACCAAACATTTAAAGAAGAGTTAATACCTAGTCTTCTCAAAGTATTCCAAAAGATAGAAGAAGGAAAACTTCCAAATTCATTCTATGAGACTATTACCTGATATCAAAACCAGATAAAGAAACCACAAAAAAAAAAGAGAAGTATGGGCCAATGACTCTGATGAGCATAGATGCAAAAATGCTCAACAAAATATTAGCAAACCGAATCCAACAATACATTTAAAAAATCATTCACCACAATCAAGTGGGATTTATTCCTGGGATACAAAGGTGATTCAATATTCACAAATCAATTAACATGATATGTCACATGAGTAAGAGAAAGGATAAAAAACATGATTGTTTCAATAGATGCATAAAAAGTATTTGACAAAGTACAACATCCATTCATGATTTTAAAAAAAACCTTTAACAAAGTAGGTTTAGAGGGAACATACCTCAACATAATAAAGGTCATCATCCTCAATGATAAAAAAAAAAAAAACAACTGAGAGCTTTTCTCCTAAAATCAGGAACAAGACAAGCATGTCCTCTCTCACCACTTTATTCAACATAATACTGGAAGTCCTGGACACAAAAATCAGATAAGAAAAAGAAATAAAATGCATCCAAATAGGTAAGGAAAAAATAAAAAAATAAAACTTTCACTATTTGTAGATAACATGACACTATATATAGAAAACCCTAAACTCCACCAAAAAACTACTAGAACTGATAAATGAATTCAGTTTAAGGTTGCAGGATACAAAATCAATGCACAGAAATCCATTGCATTTCTATACACTAATAATGAAGTAGCAGAAAGAGAAATTAACATTTACAACAATCCTATTTACAGTTGCACCAAAAATAATAAGGGGCACCTGGGTGGCTCAGTTGGTTAAGCATCCGACTCTTGATCTCAGCTCCAGACTTGTTCTCAGGGTCGTGTGTTCAACCCCGTGTTGAGCTTAAAGATAATATAATAATAATAAAAATATCCAGGAACTCAACCAAAGAGTTAAAAGACTATAAAACATTGATGAAAGAAACTGAAGACAATACAAAGAAATGGAAAGATACTCCATTTCATGGATTAGAAGAACAAATATTGCTAAATGTCTATACTACCCAAATCAATCTACAGATTTGATGTAGTCACTATCAAAATACCAACAGCATTTTTTACAGAACTAGAACAAATAACCCTAAAGTTTGTACATAATGACAAAAGACCTCAAATAGCCAAAGCAATCTTGAAAAAGAAGAACAAAACTGGAAGTATCACAATCCCAGATTTTAAGATCTACTACAAAGCTATAGCAATCAAAACAGTATGGTACTGGCACAAAAAGACACATAGGTCAATAGAACAGAATAGGGAGCCCCAAAATAGACAAAGAAGCAAGAATATGCAATGGGAAAAAGACAGTGTCTTCAATAAATGGTGTTGGAAAAACTGAACACCTATATGTAAATGAATGAAACTGGACCACTTTCTTATACCATATACAAAAATAAACTCAAAATTGATTAAAGACTTAAATGTGAGACCTGAAACCATAAAATCGTAGAAGGGAGCACAGGCAGTACTTTTTCTGACATCGACCATAGCAACATTTTTCTAGATATGTCTCCTAAGCCAAAAGAAACAAAAGTAAAAATAAACTATTGGGACTGTATCAGAATAAAAAGCTTCAGCACAGTCAAGGAAACAATCAACAAAACTAAAAGACAACCAATTGAATGGGAGAAGATATTTGCAAATGATATTTCTAATAAAGGGTTAGTATCCAAAATGTATAAAGAACTTACACAACTCAACACACACAAAAAACCAAATAATCCAATTAAAAATGGGTCAAAGACAGGAACAGAATTTCTCCAGAGAAGACATACATGTGGCCAACAGATACATGAAAAGATGCTCAACATCACTTATCACCAGGGAAATGCAAAACAAAACCACAATGAGATTATTACCTCACACTTGTCAGAATAGCTAAAATCAAAAACTCACGAAACAACCAGTGTTGGTTAGGATGTGGAGAAAAAGGAACCCTCGTGTGCTACTGGGGGGAATGTAAACTGGTATAGTCACTGGAAAAACGTATGGAGGTTCCTCAAAAACTTAAAAACAGAATTACCATATGATCCAGTAATTCCAATACTGGGTATTTTACCCAAAGAATATGTAAACACTAATTTGAAAAGACATATGCACCCCTATGTTTACTGCAGCTTTATTTACAATATCCAAATTATGGAAGCAACCCAAGTGTCCATCAATTCGTGAATGGATAAAGAAGTGGTATGTATATACAATGGAATATTACTCAGCCATAAAAAATAATGAAATCTTGTCATTTGCAACAACAAGGATGGATCTAGAGAGTATAATGCTAAGTGAAATAAGTCAGAGAAAGATAAATATCATATGATTTCACTCATATGTGGACTCTAAGAAATAAAACAAACAAATTAACAAAGAGACAAATAAAAAAATGGATAGTTAACTATAGAGAACAAACTGATGGGTTACCAGAGGGGAGGTAGTTGGAGGAATCAGTGAAATAGGTGACAGAGATTAAAGAGTACACTTATTATGATAAACACTGAGTAATATATAGAATTATTGAATCACTATACTGTACACCTGAAGCTAATATAACACTATATGTTAACTATACTGGAATTTAAATAAACAAACAACGAAACACACAGAAATAGATTAAAAGTACAAGAATGGAAAAAGGTTTACTATGCTAACATTAGTCAAAAGAAAGCAGCAGGGTCTAATAACAAATAATGTGGATTTTAGAACAAAGAATAATACTAGAGCTAAAGAAAGTCATTTCAAAATGACAGTGAGGTTGGGGTGTCTGAGTGGCTCAGTCAGTTAAACCTCTGACTCTTGATTTTGGCTTAGGTCATGATCTCAGGGTTGTGAGACAGAGACCTGCATCAGGTTCTGCACTGAGTGTGGAACCTGCTTAAAATTCTCTCTCTCTGCCCCTCCTCCACTACTCACACATGGCAGTCTCATGTGTGCGCTCTCTCTCTTTCAAAAAAAAAAAAATGAAAGTGGGGTTAATCAATCAAGAGGCAACTTGGTGAAATGGAAAAATTCCTCCAAGGACACAAATTGCAAAGGATAAATGAAATGAAGGAAAACCACAGAGCAATATCTCCTGTGAATATATGTACAAAAATCCTAATCAAAATTTAGTATTTGAATCCATCAATATAGTAAAAGCCTAAGACACCTTGTCCAAATGGAGTTTATTCCAGGCATATAGAGGTGGTTTAACATTCTAAATACATCAATCAGGGGCGCCTGGGTGGCCCAGTCGGTTAAGCGGCTGCCTTCGGCTCAGGTCATGATCCCAGGGTCCTGGGATCGAGTCCCGCATCGGGCTCCCTGCTCTGTGGGGAGCCTGCTTCTCCCTCTCCCTCTGCCTGCTTCTCTGCCTACTTGTGTTCTCTCTCTATCTCTCTGTCAAATAAATAAATAAAATCTTTAAAAA